ATGAATTTGTGAGTTGATATGATTATGCGTGTATGTATTAAATGAGACAATAAGGATTATTATCGTTGCAATATTTGTGATTTATATAATTAAATCCAATTTATTCAATTATGGATTGACATGATTATTGTAAACGAACGTCATAATTTGATTTGAATTTGTATGGTTATTTATAGCATGACATTGAATATCTTTAATGCTCAATTTATAATATGAATTATCTTTGTTTTAAATCATTCTGAGTATTCATATTTATTATATTGTTTTTCCATATCCGAATGAGTGAAAATAAATATAACTTTAGATCTGTTGGTTCATAAGCATTGTTTGAAGTAAATGTCAAATTTGTGAAAGACTCTAGTTATTTGAGGGCTATGAGCACAAGTAATGATATAGACCCTAAAGGGATGATAGAAAATCCAACATTGGATCAAATCATGAAAAAAGCCAAACGAAAGTGGCTAATGAAATGAATATGGAAAATTAAATTAAGGACAAGTATTATGAATCTCATGCCATTGAAATTAACCTCACTATTGAGGTTAACAATATCTTTGTTGGTTATTGCTCATGAAGTAGCAAAATTCGAATTATTTTATCAATTGCCTATATACAAAATGATTTTAATTCCCCTATATGTGATGCATGCAATCACATATATTAATTTGAAGGAAGCCAATTTCAATACAATAATTGGCAATATAAAAATTAATTGAAAGCTCTAGAAGAGCTAATATGTGATTATCAAAGGAAACCAAATTGGCTATAAATAATATCACACTGCCACAAATGATGGTAAAATTGACTATTATTACAATATTGCAGGTTAAGAAATGTGAATAAAAAAAAGAATTACCTATTTTTCTTTCGATAAAAACTGCACTAATATTAGCATGATTGAAAAACATGCCTTAGTAAATCAAAGGGATATTGATTATGATAGCTACATTATTTGGCATGACCGGTTGGACCATCCCGAATCAAATATGATGCAAACAAATTATTAAAAATTTATATTATCATGCATGAAGAACCAGAAGATTCTTCAATTTATTGAATCTTCTTGTATTGCTTGTTCTCAAGGGAAATTATACCAGCTAAAGTTGAAATTCAATCTCTTACATCTTGAAATGCAAACAGGGTGAAATATATGGGCCCATTCACCCATCATGTGAACCTTTCAAATATTTTGAATTTAGTAGAAGCATTTATAAAATAGCCACATGTTTCTCTATCTTGACATTTATGAGATTGTTTTCTCAAATAATAATATTAAGAGCACAATAAAGACAATTAATTTTTATAATGCTGGTGAATTTATATTATATGTCTCCAATTTATTGCTAAACATTACCCTATGAGAACAAAGCTCCTTATTCTGGCATGGGATATGCTATATTTTATGCTGCAATACTTGTACGCTATGATGCACGGACACGGGACACGGGACACGACACGCCGACATGTTAATTCTAAAAAATGTCATATTTAGACACGTTGGGACACGTTTTGATATTAAATAAATTTTTTAATATATAAAATATAATTTATATTTAATACATATAAGAGTCCATAATAAGTCATATGACCAATCAAATATTTAAATTTCATAACATAGATATAAAAAATAACAATTTTTCGTACTTTGTTAATTTTTCATCTCAAATTTCATAACAGAAAAAAATTAATTTATAAATTAATTCTTTTATATTTAGTTAACAAAATAAAATTAAGATTTAAAAAAAAAACGTGTCCGAGCGTGTCCAAGCGTTGACCGCGTGTCGGAAAAACGTGTCGGAACGTGTTCGAGAGTTGACCGCGTGTCCCCAAATATTGACTGTGTGTCGGAGCGTGTCCGTGTTGGACACGTGTCCGACACGCCATTTCTCAAAAAAATTGTGTGTCCCTGTAATAGAGCTTGTACGCATCATGCCAATAAGTTATCATCTCCCCATTGCATTGGCTTATGGTCAAGAGCCAAATAATATTTTTAATGTGCGATTTATATTCTAATTACTCCACCACAACGCACAAAGATGAATCCCAAATATAGTTGGGAATATATGTTGGATATGAATCTCCTTAAATAAATATTGAAATAATGATTGGAGATTTAGTGGATTATTGTTATTAATTTTTCCAACATAAAGGGGAGAGAATAAATAGTTGGAAAATACATAATGCATTATCATTATCTCATATAGATCCTCGCACCAAGCAAATATGAGAAAAAGATATTATATATCGACTACTAGATGATTTAACTGACCAATAAGTCTAATATTTCAACTGTAAATGCTCCAATTCATATTGTACATAGAAAAATGATCGGTTCCAAAGATAAAAATCCTCAAAAGGGGAGGAAAGGAGCAAATGATTAAGATGGTCGTAATATGAAGACAATTTTTAATCATTAAGACATAACTTTGGTTAAACCTCGAGGGAGGTTCAGGTACCTGAAAATAATAAAAACAAAGAGATCTCTATTAGTTATGTCATTACAAGAAACTGTTGGAACCATAAAGATATAGTTGTCAACAACATTTGCATAAAATGAAATGATGAAACAAGACGAGGATTTTGAAGCTAAATTTGTTGATGATGATTGACCAAAATATAAAGACGCAATTCAAATTTAAAGTTTTTTGAACCTGTAGTCCAAACACGAAGGTGTAATGCCAAATGTGCACAAATTATAATGAAGTTGTTGTAGCACAAGAATTTTGCAAAAACCTGGCATCTATTATATGAAAATATATTCTCTTGTGGTGGATGAGATCACCTTCAGATATTTTAATAATCTGGCAGTACATGAAAAGGTTGACATGCGTCTAATAGATGTTATTATAGCTTATTTATGTGGCTTATTCAATCGATAGTGAAATATATATGAAAATCCTAGAAAGATCTAAAATGCTTGAAGCATATAAAAATTCCCGGGAAATTCGTTGAATGAAGCTTCAAATATCGTTAATGGATTAAAGCAATAAAGACATGTGTGGTATAATCACCTTAATAAAATATTTATCTACCAGTTGATTTGTAATTTAAATATATTTTACATGGTTAAAACAAATCCATTGAGTACCCCAATGGTTATATGAGCTTGATTGACATAAATAAAATATTCATTTAAACCCATGAAAAATCATGAATTTTTTTTTTAGTGCCATATCTTAGTTCAATCGAGACAATCTTATTATTAAAAGGTGAACATCCAAGTGGAGATTATAAAATTATTAAAGTGGATGTTTGGATTTTGAACCTCATATCTTCCCCCTTATTCTTATATTTTATCTTTATTTATAAATTTGTTAGCGGGAATTAATTATTTTCGATATGAAGAAACTAGAATAATGCAGCATCCACACAAAGTTGGATTCCAAACATGATATTTATTTACAAGTGGAAGCACGACCATGGGATAATAGCAATTCATGAAGAAAGTCAAGAATGTGTTGGATCAAGGTCAATGACGCAACACATCCGAAAAGCATGCGGTTTTTAGTTAGAAAAAGAGGTTCCAACAATATTGCATGAAGATAATGCTGCTTGCATAGCTCAATTAAATGGAGGATACATCAAAGGAGACAGAACGAAGCATATGTCACCAAAATTCTTCTTCACTCATGATCTTCAACAAAATGGTGAAATTGATGTTCAGCAAATTCGTTCAATTTGGCAGATTTATTTACTATTACCCACTTCAAGTTTTGAGAATACAAGATTGAGATGCGTATAAACTCTTTTAAGTCTCCCTTTACTTGCAAAAAATGAAGAAGAAAAGGAACGAAGAAAATGGAAAGAAAAAATCTCCCCCACCCCCTTTTTTCTTTTTTTTATCCATATTCATAGAGATAGAATTCATGTCATAATTAAAGAACTAATGTGTAATTATTTTTCGTAATCAAAAATGATATTAAATAATGTTATCGTCAGGGGGAGTGAAATACATGTTGCACTCTTTTTTCCTTCACCGTGATTTTGTCTCATTGGGTTTTCCTGGTAAGATTTTTAATGAGGCAGCTTCTAGTACCTATTTCTTCTCAATAGGATTATTGACATCCAAGGAGGAGTATTATAAATAATTTAATTATTGGTTATCCATATCCGTTATATGACCATTGAAGAAGTTATGACCGTTGGAGAAGTAATCGTAGCTAATGATATTATTGTAACTTTCATGTCTTTTGAGCCTATAAATAAGACATATACAAAGCATCATGGATATACGAATAGACAATAAGAACATATTCCCTCTATCTCTCTTCCAATTATCTTTATATTTTATAACATATCTACAATTTTATTTTCAAATATTTAAATATGAATATTTGTTAATATTTTTTTTAAAACTATTATTTAATTGAATGCTTTAAAAAAAACGTGTATTGAACTAAATCTTCAATTATTAAAGATTTATACTATTACTCAATTTACTTTTGCACTATAATCATCTTCAAAATCAATCTTTAAAGATTATTATTATAAGAGAAAAACAATTGTCACAACTTTGTGTGAAAAGATCATATTTTGATATATATTTATTGAATTTTTAAATTCTCTCTCCTCCATAATATTTTGTCTTTCTCTCTACTCCAAATTTTGTAAAGGAAAAAAAATATTAAAGGCTAACAAATATATATCAAAACAGTGCAATTTTATTTAAAATGATACAATTATTATTACTATGATATGAAATAGCCTTCATTTATTGTTAAGTAAGGGTCAAAATTGTCGTAATATAAGGATCCCAATCTTATTTTCATAGGAAATGTGGAGAGCAGGGAGAGAAGGGGAAGTGCACGAAGTTTTTAGTATCAAAGTCTGGTAAACAATTATACAAAATTCTATATTCAATTCTTCAGCTTCTACGTGGAGAGAGGAGAATAAGAATGATGAGGCAATCAGATACAATTTTATAACACTTTGGAATTTTGATAGTACTCATCAATATTCGAGATTTTATCAACACTGGCTCGAAGTATTCTTCTCCCACTAACAAATATAAACAAACCGGCCTTTTTTACCCAGAGCTATTGTTAGAACTAACAGATATTTTGATAAGCCATACACAGTTCATATGGGGTATGCGCTCTGTGACATAATTTTGCTTAAATTTCTCAGTATGCTAGAACTCTTATATGATATTCTGTCTGTAACAAAATGATTCAGATGGGTTTGGTTCAGCCCTGCTTATGCTTCTTGCCACCAGCCAGAATGCGCTGGATTTGAAGACCTCGGCTGAATGCTTGGTTGAATAGCAGCCTAGTTTGGAATTCTGAAACAAATGGGAACCAAGCCAAGACGGCCACCGGTGTAAAGATAACCACTCCCATCAGGTATTCGTAGCCCCTTGCTAAAGCTTTGACAGAACTCCACATTCCAATGCCCTTCACCAATGGCCTGCATGCTTGTCCTATCTGCATATATATAACGCCACACCAATCAGAAAGAAGTTATTTTACATTCACTGTAGCAACAGGAATCATTAGGGAAGCTTTTCTAATTGCATGAATGAAGAAGGAAAAACCAAGTTACTTAGTTTAAGATCTTATATCAAGAGAAATGATTATCACATGTAATCTAATATTTTGAGAGTACAATATTTAATTAAATTAGCGATTGCCATGATGAGTGAGTGAACCATACTACTCGAGTCAGTAACATGAGACAACATAGGGATAATAATTATTCCTGAAGGTGTAAACAAGTGCCAAGACAGGCCTGACATAAGGTCTGGGATACAAATTAAAGTCAAGTGTATATTCGGCATGATCGTATTAGACAAATATGCACCAAAACAAGAGGTAATGACTACTAAAAAAGTACCTGTATAAGTGCCCATGCCGTTGGCAAAAAGGCTAGGAGGCTCGCAAAGATGTCTCCAACTGTGAGACTAAGCAGAGTAAACATTAAGCCCAGAGCGACAATGGCTCCAATAAACAGAAACAATTTGAGAAGACGAAACATCAACTGGAAATCTGCGCTAAACTTCTTTCTACCCATGGACACAATCTGCAGTTTCAGATGCCACCAATTAATAAAATCATTATCAAGCAAAAGCAGAAAAAATTCTTCATTCAGAATGAACTTTTTGATCACTGAATACCAACCTTCAAGATAATCATGACAGCCACTATCACTAGCCAGGACAGAGCATAAACCTGAAGAGAAAATGCATGTCAGAAAATTCTTCCCTATACAGTCATTTCTGTTATTTCTTTCATTTCTTTTTTTTCTGGTGAGTTATGGGGGTGGGGGAAGATTCTCTAATGAGATCATGGTATTTGGAAAAGGACTAAATGCTGCTATATCCAAGAAACTACTTCGTCTAATCCCTGTTAACAACATTCCGAATTACAGGAGTAAAAAAGCCTATTTTCTGTTAGCATGAATATTAGAGTATGAACATAAGAAGGGGAACCCTTTCATGTAGGTTCCAGAGTTTGACATGACAACATTAAATAAAAATTAAATAAGCAAGCAAGCATAATTACCATGATGCTCTTGTCACCTCTGGCTACATTGAGATGATACACAATCCCATACTGATAGACAAAGAAACGCAGGGAAAGAATAATCTCACAAATACGGCCAAAAAACCCAGTGTGCCGCAGATGCTCCTGTTCCTCATCCCACCATGACTCCCAACTCTTGTTTGAAGGAACACCAATACCACCACGACTACTTATCCATTTTTTCCAATCATCCCAATCGTCAACTATCTTTTGCCACTCAAATCCTGATGGATTAAAAAGGAAAGGAGAAAACAACCAAGAACAAACCAAAAACCACATTGACCATGAGAGAAGGCCATATGTTGCTGATTCAGGTGTTGCTGATCCATAAATCTTATAACATATGAGCAATATTGTGAGCTCAATCCCTTTAACGAAGTGACTCCTAGAGTACAGCCTATAATTTTCCGCAAACTTCTCATGTCGCACTACAAAACCACGCCCAGTTGCTCTGTATTTTGCCCCTCCATGCAGGATAGTGCGCCCAAAATAGTGCATCTTTGTCCCTAGTGAGAAAGTGAAGAAAACAGGTGCTAGCTGCAACTGCATTATTATGAGATCACCCAAAGCAGTTCTGAATCCTCTCTCTAGTCCAATTTCCATGACCATGGGCAAAGTCATTAGAAGTCCTATTTGAACAAGGGATTGCGAAGCCATTGCTGCCTTTAGTGCATCATCTCCCTTTCTCCTAGCTAACTTTACTATTGCAGTCTCAAATCCACTCAATGACAAGTATAGTTTGCCATATAGGAAAGCATAAGACGTGAGAACCACAATCTATGAATCAGCAAAAGAATGATTTATTGCTATGTGCAGAATTAAAAAAATAAAAATAAAAAATGCAAATTTAAATAGATATTAACCAAGACAAATTATATAGCTTCCCAATAGAAATCGTCAGCTCTCAGCATAACAATACTCAGTCAGGTTCTCATTTTGTAGGGCGGGGATATATATGGTTTAGTGTTCAAGTGATTAGAGATTAATTTTCATGTCCATTACTCATTGGGATTAACTTGTTTATTAGATATACCATTAGTTTAATTTTAATAACACAGTTTTGAACAAAAAAAAGTAAAAAATAAATAGCATCTATATAAAACAGCAAGTATTGTTTTGCTTTATCCTAAATGCATTAACCATTACCATTGAGCTGATAAAAAATCCAACCGTCGTAAAATAAAAAGATAGCATGCGGAAAAAGTCAAAACGATGCCCTAGCCGGTAGAGATCTCTGCTTAATATCTGCTCTCCGTTACCACAAGCCACTTTTGCTTCAAAAAGTGAGATTTGATTAAGCCCAACATCTCTACCCTTTCCAACTTGGATATATTCATGATGAGTAATATTCCCGCGTCGTAACGTTGAGTTGAATCCTATATAAGGAAAGGCATATGATGCAGAGGAAGAAATATCAAATATTACAGCAAAGAAAGATGTTTCAAGAATGTTACCAGCAAAAATGTCCTCGCTCAGATTGATGCCACGAGATGCCTTGCTAATTCCTCCACGGGTAATATGGAAAATTCTATCAAAAACATCCGGATGACCGTAGTGGAATCGTACCCTAGAATTGAACAAATCCATCATAAGCCAGAATACGTATATGTACTATACCCATTGTAATAGTTTATTTGTTGCAACAGTGGCAGAAGTGATGGAAAAGAAAAATTCAGTAGTTCACTAATCATTGTCTCCAAAAATTCAAATAGCATAGGAAATGACATCCAACGAGAAAAGGAAATAAGAGGGAAGGAGAAAGCAGAAAATTCATCAGTAAGCAAAACACGGATAAGTATCGTTTGAATAATACGTTAGCCTTTGAAGGTAGTTCTATTTATATTGCATTTGCTTTTCTCTTAAATAAAATCAGTGTTTCAACTTTGGATGAGGTCTTGTATGAGCCAATTGTTAAGCAGGAGGTTCCTGATTTATTATAGAAGATAAACAAGTACACATTATAAGTCAACCATGTCATGAAATCACTAGAGAAAAACTTACTTCAGGGGTCTCGCAAGAACTCTTTGACCGATTGTGACAAAGCTTGTTTCTTGATTTGACATAAACCAACCCAAAGAAGAGACACTGTATAGCAAGTGATAGATTTAAGTAATATAATAGGAACTTAACACAACAAAGTGTTCACTGTATGTGGAATAAAATTCATCAGACCTGCCAGTAAAGATATGCTCACGAACACCTAATATAGTGGGTCGGCGCACCCCGTGATCCTCGCTAAATTCTTCCAAAAGGTTACGCATTTTTAAAGCTTCTTCCAAGTAATTATCCTAGAAGAAATATGCAATACACCATCTTAATAGGCACTGACTCCCAGTTTCAACTTGTTATAGTTTCAAAGTTTATAATATTTTTCATTTAAAAGAAAAAAGTTTATAATGCTTTACCTGGTTCATGTCGATAGTCTGAAGAGCTTCCCCTCTAGTAAAAATGATGGCATGATTTTGATTTTCAGGCTTCCCTTCTCCTAACTTTGCTGGACCCGGCAGTTTAATTCGAAATATTTCCTTTTAGAGAAAATGATAAAACCATAAGTTCTAAGGTAACCATGAGTAAATTAACTTATTTTCTGATATCAATAAGCATTTACTTGGTCAAGGTTGTCCACAGCTTTGACCAATACAGAATAATAAACTTTCTGTACTTTTCCTCCTTCTCTTTCTTCAACTTCGTCAATATATGCCACACGAAGTGCGGGATTGCTACAAATGAAGAGCCAGAAATTATATTCTTAAATCAAGTGGATTTCAGAAAATTAAAAGCCAAATATTTATATTGTATTTGAACTGAGTTTAATTAATCAATTGGAGAACATACTTAACCATCAAATTCAGGATGTCTGTTGCATGGCGGTCTCCGCTACGCTTTTGATTCCCATAGTTCTGGCAGGTAGCAACATATGTAAATTTCATGTCAGCGACAGCCTCTAAACTGGCATATAGGGATCTCTGACTCTTTTTATCTTCCTCAGATGGGACGGCAATAGCTTTATAGCCATCAAGTATCTCTGCCCACAAGATAGCAGCAAAACCATACAATCATTATTCTTGGCAGACAACTATTCTTTTGTCAACCACCATGAAGAATATGAAAAGTCTTTTTATTATACATAGTGAATTGCATGTAAGTGACAGTCATTTACATATAAGAAAAGGCTAAGCCCCAGGATTTGAAAAAGATACAAGTCACATGCCTGCCACGGCCACAGTAGAAATTAGATTTATCTAAATAGCTCAGAATAAATCTTACCCTTTTCATTAGCCATATCAAGAAAAGCTTGGAGCTTAAGAGCCCGTCGGTAGTACATCATTCCTCTAACTGCATCAATTAATAAGTACAAGAGGCAAAATATTAATCAACCAGACCCTGCCTGTGGGGATGGAGAGGGAGAAGTCATGGTTACCTGTCCTGGAAAGAGTTTGTCCTCGTAACGAGGCCCAGTGCCGTAGCTGCAATATATGCTCATCTTTCTCCCATATTTCACTATCTTTCTTACAATCAAGTCGCTCCATGAAGTTATTCCACTCATCTGGTAAAATTAACTAGATTTTAGCCACTCCTTTCTCTACTAGCAAAATACAGTAAAGGTATACAGTGGTAGTTATTACAAACCAGGGAAGATCTTCTGCAAGTAATATATGATTGACACACCATCTTCGTTTTCAACCTCAAGGTCATTCTTTGAATAGACAGTCTCTTCACTGTAGTATGGAGTTAGGACACTGCAAACAATAAGCAAAATGCTATTATATAAGCACAGGTCAACTTCAGAATAGATCAGATTTCAACACTTATGCATCACAAATTGCTTTACAAATTAAATATTAAATAAATAACCCAGAAAAAGATAATGTGTCTAATATATAAGACTTTAGATGTGCAAAGAAAGATAGTATTCTTCATCACAATTTAAGGAAAACACCACATAACCCTAATGGTTATAGCATCTATTAGCTCTATGAAGATGTCAATATTCAATATGAATAAGTTTAATGTCCAGAAGAAAAGGATGAAGTTCATGCAGTTTAATATACAAAGCGTGACATTGGCATATATCTTCATTGCCATTTTTGAAACATGCATCAGACCTGAATGAGAGCATTTTACGAACGCGTGGAGCACGTGGCATGTCCATGAACAACGAATTGGAAAAGAATGCAATTCTTCTGCGCGCTTCAAGGTTTGTGGGAACCTCAATAGCAGATTCCCTCACCGTTAAGAGTAAATAAAGACGTCTAATCTGAAATATCATAATTATTCAGAAGTTATAGAAGAATGTGGATATTTCTTTTTTTTATATATAGAAAAAGAAATTTTATTAAGGAAGAAGAGAAGCATCTGAAAAGTTAATAATAATATAAACCATAAAAGAGTAACTATTGTAATTTTAATAATATTACTACGTACTTGTTCCTCCCATTGTGCTGTAACCACAGGAGGGAATAGGACAGCAGGTTTTGCATCAGTACCAGCAAAAAGTTGCCTTCCACTATCCTTACTACTATGATTAATTTCTGCCAATTCACTGATGAACATCACATTATGAAAAGCAAACATTATTATTTTTAATAAGAGCCACAAGTAATATTATATTACCAATTCAATGTGATTAAGTAGCCAACCTGATCTCATTCACCATCATATCACGAGTAAACACTTCTAACATGTCTTGCAACAAGACCACCACTGTATCTCGCTTTGATGAATCTGCATTTTTCTATAACCAGAAAGGAATATGTAAGCTTCCAGATAAGATAGTTAGAGACAAGCAACCATTCAGGACTACAAAGGGCAGATATGATTAGTTTTCCTTTGAATGACTCACCAAGATCTCCACAAGCTCCACGAATTTCTTACATAGGGAAGGCAAAAATCCCATTCGGAAATTTGTAAGAAGTGTATTCTTAGATATGGCGCTTTCGACTTCCCTAATGATGACAGAGATTGTCCTGTTCCATCACAGTGGATTCAGAACTGATAATGATATGGTTTTAATGAAACTTTTATAGCTTCAATTTTAAGCCCTAGTTAAGTAAAAAAAACAAAAACAGCTGAAATGAAATTTCGAATGGCCTTTCTAATGCAAGAAATTTCGAATTAATGTGGTTGAAACTAAAAATTTATTAAGCAAGTTAACCATTTCTTCCTATATTTATTTTGAGTTGTCAAGGGATCCAGAAAAATGATTTAAATATATAAAGATTAATAAATCAAATGCAAAAGCACATCATAAAAGGCTAATTTCTATTCATAGAGAAATGCTAGCAATGTACTCTTTGACACTGTTCCCAAAACTCTCTTTATTATTGGGTAAAATCCCACACTGGCCCTACAAGATAACCTGGCACCACTCTCTATTAGTGGAGCCAGCATAGTATTTCACCCAATAATAGTGTTGAAAAAAGTGAGTCAGATTGTTTGCTAGCATACCTCTTCATGGAATTCAATAGAAACAATAAGAGCCAAATTTGTAGTCTTTGTACAGAAAAGAACTTGGTAAAGGAAAGCAAGATAGAGTGCTAATAGAACTGGATCTCAATTGTGCTACCTAAAAAAATATGGGTAGGATTATTTATAACGTTACACTGATAATGCTTCTAGTATGAAGTGTAAACTAAAATGGACAAACATCAACAAGAAAAGATACTAAAAACTACCTTTTTTCAGCTTCTCCAACCAGCAAAGTATGCAGGACATTTTTAAAAGATTCATAGCATTCAATCACAGCACACTTCATGTATTCATCGGAACATATGCGCTTCCAAAGATCAGAGTCCCTTCCTCGAAATTGGGCTGCCATATCCAGAGCTATTGGAATCTGCAAAGGTAGAGCAGGAGTCAATTATATGAACTGGTAACAAACACAAGAATATAAAAATTTGAATTACACAGACCTTGCTTGCAAGCAGAAACGGTGGCCACTGAATTATTTTAAGGCTAGGATCTGATGAGTAAGGAACCAACAAAAGATCCATCTCCCTGGAGTGATGCAAACATAGTTTAGTCCTTAATAGGTGATGGACAACAAATCAAAAGATGAAGGAGAAAGAGTAGAAGCTAGGAGAGAGGACAGAGAAAAGAAACTAAAGAGTTTGACTTTGAGGCCTTTCCTATCACTTAAGATATCTTCCTCACGAAAACTACAAATAATTTCATTCCATAATTGGGCAAACTTAGCAGCTTCACTCCTTCGACTTGTAGAAATCTATACAAACATGAAAACATAAGTGAAGATAAATAATTATATTTAGCTTACTGTAGTTAGCAATGAAATGAAAATGTTATACAAACCTCAGCAAATCGCTTTGAGAAAGAGAATTTGTTTTTCTGTTTCTTGTCAGTAGGAACCAAGTATGTGTTGAATGCACCAGGCAATGACTGAAACCGTGACCTTAGCATGCTCAGAGTGCGTATCTGTTAAGCAAATAGATAACAACGTTAAGTGGCTGCTGAGAGATTGTGGCTTGAAGTACTTTACTCTATTTGGTCCCATAAGAGTAATCCAATCTGAAGTTCTCCCGTAAAATGAAAAGGGAAATTTGAGTCTAGTTACAGATTGGAGACTAAAAAATTTCTTATATAATATACATAAATGATGATCCAGTACTTTGTGTCCAAAAGGGTCTTATAAATTTCTTGATTAAATAGGTTCAAATTTTTTGTATGCTTTACATAAAAGAAGAAAACCAATAAAATAGTCAGTTCTCAAATTATCTCCAGATATAGAAAGATAGAAATAAGATAAAATTGACAATGACCTCTCCTAGACGGTCAAAGGCTCCAGTAACACCACCAGACACAGTTGAGAAGATGGCATACCAAATTTGAGTGTCCATGAAATAAACCTGCATTTGAAATGTAAACTCAGATGTTACACTGAAAAAAATTCATCCCGAACAAATGAAAAGAGCAATATATGTGAACATAACCAGGAAATATAGAATACGCACCATAATTACGGGAGCCCAGAGCGCAACAACTGCACCATAGTTATGTTGAGCTGCATAGACCAAAAATATTAGATTAATAGAATTAACAGTGTTACAATGGAATCATTAAAGATGAAGAAATTACCATGGGGGAAAAACTCATTCCAAGCAAAATCAATATGTCGAATGCTCATTATGTCCTTAGTTGGTTGAACTAGAGGTTTGATCTGAAGATAGAGAAAACAGTTAAAAGAAACCCAACAACTTCACAAGACACAAATAGGAATATAACAATGACTGCACGTGTAAAAATTACCTGGACAAAATAGCTGAAAGAAAATTTCGCAGCCAAAAGAATCACCCAGAAAAGAGTGTACCTGGAATTCAAAAAAGAAATTAGATGATGAAACAAATTTTAAACGAATAACAGGAGCACAAACCTTGAATAAATAACAGTGTTCTGTGAAACTCACTTTATGAGAGTAAATTGACTTTCATGCATTCCTCTTCCAATATAGATTCTTGGCTGCACAAGGAGAAATAAAAATTCAGAAATGAATAAATGATGCTCAAAGATCCCAGATTATTTAAAAGAGAGGCATTTTTCAGGAACACAGGAAGGCTTTTGAAAGATTAAAAACCACTAACTCATTATTCATGCATTTGGAATATAGAGAAAAGAGTATATTAAAAACAAAAAGTATCATCATCTGGCCTCTTGATTGAGTTGTCAGTTCAGACTTTGAATTGCAATTACACCAAAAAAAAAAAAATCTACGGCTACAAACTTGGATGCTTTGGTAGATGATAGATGCTGCCATTATGTACAAAATTCTGATCATTAATAGAATATCAATTTTATGGCCATATTTTTTCTTAAAGAATATAAAAGTTCTCACTTAAACATTGCCACAAAAATATTGCAGAAAAATATACAGAAATGGAAAGATTTAGGGCAACTAAAGTTGCTGGAAATTTAAGGAGAATGACGAGAAAAACTTTAGGAGTTTTGAAATTTACAGAAACTCATTAACAAATTTGTCGCCACAAATAGTTAGCATTCCTGTAATGATGCCAAGGAGAGTGGAAGAAAACCTTTGATCAGACAAGTTAAATTACATCAAACTGCAGGATTAATTGTTTAAAGTTATTGTTTATTTTCAAGATAATATATTACAAAAACAAACTGAGGACATGTAGAGTCAAAATAATTCAGTACTAAGCGCTTTACTATCCTACCAGTTATGGAATGTGAATGTGAACACATATTTGTCTGTACATGTACTTGTGCATTAACTAATAACTACAGGCACTTAGATCCTTAAGGATCATGCCCACCACAAAAAGTCCTTGCCAGTTATATAAGATGTGTGAACTTAACATGACAGATATCAGTGTTTTCCATTCAAATAAAATTGACAAAGCAATTTCTTCCTACTGATTCCTATAGTAGTCAGGTAGATACATGCATTACTTGCACAATGAACAATAAATACATTGAAATAAGCATCGTACCAACACAATAATTTCAGTTTATAATTATGAAGAGAAATAGCTAAATGTGCAAGTGAAATAAGATAGCACAAGTACCTGTGACCACCATAAGAGGAATCTAACTATGTGCCAGTCTGAGTTTTCAATCCAACGCCTGAGCATTGGGAAAAGAAAGAGAACAGCTGCTAGTAAATTTGGAAGCAGATACACCGCAACTGCCAAGATATACAATGGTGGAAGCCCCTTTGTTTGATGAATAAAGGAAAGCAACTTCTGAATAATCGCAGGGGCACCCTTGAAGGAATGCACATATAAGAGTGGAAGAGCAATAGCCCAAAAAAGACTAACAATGACTTTAAGAATATTTCGTAGCACATCGGTGAATCTCCAGCGATGATAGCCTGGAAAGTTCAGAACCAGGTCCAAGATACCTACATCAAAATAAAGATGAGCAAATGAAATGTCAATTCTTCAAGTACTAGGTTAAACCAACATCAGTAAAAAAAATTCTAGTAACTAGTGCTTATGATAGTAGCATATTAAATATACATATACAAAGCCACTTAAGTGAATATATCATACTTTGAAGAAAGCGGAGGATGGCTGCTGTGATGAATATGCTAGAGAGATTATATAAGACATTTTTCTCAAAGATATCCATCAATGAAATCCCTTTCCATGCAATAATGATAATCACCTGCGATAAGAATATTCAGACCTTCTCAGAACAATAGTCAAGGGAAGTATTGGCATAAGCATTTCCTTCTTTTGAAAACAAGTACCTGCAAACCCAGTAAATAAAAGGTCCAAAGACGATCAAAACTGCGGAAGATGTGCCAGAATGACCGTGTCTCAACAAAATTTGATTTACCAGTTCTTCCAGGTTTTTTCGGAGCACCCTTTCTTCCCTGATATGGAATTTATATAAGCATTGAACCAATGAGTATTTTACATTCAGGCAAGTTAGATCTAAGAGAATAAATACCTATGCCAAATTATATGTTGATTTAAAACATTTACCAATAAGTATTTTACATTCAGGCAAGTAACTTCTAAGACAATAAATACCTGTGCCAAATTATATGTTGACTTGAAAAATTCACCATCATCACGCATGGGCCACCCAAGAGAAAAGCAATCAGGTGACCTGCAACAGAATGCAACAAAATTCAAAACAATAAATTGTCAATAAACAAAAGATGAAACAAGCCAACGAAGTCAATTTCAATAAGAAATAAAAATCCTAAAAGCCAAACGAACCAGAAATACTCATTTAGATCATCATAGTTGCACCAATCTGAGTGAGGAGCCTTTCCATCTCCGCTCTTCTCAGCTTCCTGTATTAATTAGTGTGATCATAACTCATTACCCAGAAGAGAGGTACCTGAAGTATGCTGACATTGTCCATATCAGAAAGAACCATACCTTTTCAATTACTCGGTATATGGGAGTTATAACCTTGCGCAGGAATGCCTCATCATCACCACCATAAGAAGGCTTGATGTTTTCACCGGTAACAATGCTGACATTTCCAGCCAATAACCCGTGAAGTTCATATGCCATCTGAAGTTATAGTTGGCTAGTATTAATACATGCAGTATATCACTAATAAATACAAATTAAAAATTAAAAAAAAAAAAATATTTCATTGGCACAGACATTCTGGCACAAGATACTTGTGAAACATATGAAAAATATGTACTCACATTGTGAAATATGTAGCATAGGCATTCTGGCATGAAGCGAACATTGGATGCTTCACCCCATATAAGAAGATACAAGCCCATATAAAGTAACTTCCTCTGTTGTATCTCTTGCTGACCTTGAGGGAGTCTGTACGAAAGAACAAGATAAGCACTTTTAGAATAAAAAATTTCATATTTGTTCTCAAATAATTGATGGGGAAATGTAGGACAATTGTTTGCTCATGGAGATATTGTTACCGTAAACTATGTTTTCGTCCCAAAAAATTACACCAATTTTTGTAATTCTTAAAAAGATCATTCAAAACTGCATCAACAGCGCGATCATCGAGCTGCATTTGCCAAAAAGAAAAAAGAAATTTACAAAGTCATTTAACCACAGGTCAAAAGCAAAGCAGGTTACCCTAATAACTAAATAAATGAAGTTTTGACAAGATTTCTCATGATTTCTGATTTAACTCTATGAAGAAGCAAGAGACAGATACATGCCTTATTGAGAGGCTCAGGTTTGGGCTGTAGCCTTATGTGAGAGTTAGCAAGAAGCAGAATCAAGTGCTCTCTCTGGTTCCTGACGTTGTCCCTCTGAGCCAAAATAAACCAAATACATTAAGAATTTGTAGGGGCTATCCAAAAAACTTTTAGTCAGTCATAATAATTACAGAGTATAACTAACTGTAATATTATTCCAGCTCCAGCTCAGCTTTTTGATGTGCACGTTTTACGCACGCACGTTTTACTAGCACGTTTTATGCTAGTGTGTATATATATATATATATATATATATATATATATATATATATATATATATATATCAGTGTAGCTACCTGTATTGATTCATTATGAATAAGATGATTTCTTTGAAGTTCACTAAGATGGTATCAGAGCACAACTAACTAACTGAACTAGCTAATTAGAATTATCCACATGTAAAACGTGCACAGCAAAAAGCTGAGCTGAAGCTGGAATAATACTTGTGTAATAATAATCTTTCTCCTTTCCCGTTCTATTTGGGAGAAAAAAAGACATGCCTGGAACCCAAACATGGCTCTAAGCCAATCAAGCAGATCCAAATCTCCAGTTCTCTGCCTATGCTGCTCGAATGAACTAGGCCAGTTCAATCCACGAGTATTCCAGAGCGCAGAAACGGCTGCCTTAATCTATAACAAGGAAAGAAAGCCAAGGAATTCAGTGCAATGGCGAAACGAAACAAAGACTCATCATCAATCATGGCATAAGGGTACCTCTTCAAGCTGCATAATAGGCTGAGAAGCCCCAGCAGAATCCAATGGAAGAATGTTAAAAGGAGCATAAATCTCCGTCTTTTCCTGGACATCTCTTGCAGCCGCAATAATCTGAATACACAAAACTCATTGCTGTCACGTCTCCAAGACATGAATGCTGAAAGAAAACCATTTTCACAACAAAATGAAAAAAAAAAATGTATAGATAAATCAAGACTAACCTCAGGAGCTACTTCTTCGACCTTCTCAGTCTTATTAACGGCACAAAGCACTTCAAAAAGAACCCCAGCAGTCTGGTAAGCTTTACCAAGCTGTGCTCTGCAAGAGAATTTCAAGGGCAGAAGGAAAAGAAGAGAACCATTTAAGCACAGAGAGGAAAGAGGTATCTACATTTAACATAACACACACCGCGTGAAGGGTATGTACCTATCAGCCTGCTCTCCTTGGTCAAGAGCTCTGACATAATGCTCATAATATTGCTGATAATAAGCCTGGATTTCCCTTGCATCTGTCTTCTTAAGACGAGCTGCAAGACTGGACGCATTGTCCTAAAGTTCCAGAAATAATGTAAATTGAAATGTGAATCAAAAGGCTACACTCCTCACTGACACCCTTTAAATAAGAGGGGGAAAAAATTACTTAGTTCAGTTTTTTCAGGAAACCCATAATCTGTTATTGGGAACGAACCAAATGATTTCCTCGTCTCGTTAAAAGACCACCACAACACAATAACCAATTAAAACTCTACCAAACCAATCCCAGTTCTCCACTGCTCCCATTTCCAAAAATATTTCCCAAATGAACCTAATCGTGTTCTTGAATCCCATGCCCGCAGGGAAATGAACTATAACGTCTTCAGAGTCCATTACAAGAGAAATTAGGTGTATAGTGCTGAAATGGAACGAGATACTCTGAACCGCGACACTGTATGCTTTGCTAGGGAAAGTCGTTTAAACATAATAATAGATAATAAATTAAGCTATACTTCATTTTATTTTAAAAGATGTAAAGTTGTGTCATTGTAAGAGAGAAAAAGACATAGATAGAAGAGGAAAGAGAATTGACAAAAAAAATAAAGGTACGAGTTTCACCTCTCTCTGTGAGAGTGAAAGAATATAAGTTATGTCATTTAAAAACATAAATATTTTTCCCATAAATTAATAATAATAATAATAATAAAAGAAAACTTTATTTTTGATTTTGTAATTTATCATTTGATTTACGTGATTTTAAACATATCACTTAAATCTAATATGTTTAAATAATTTATCTTTTGACTCGTGTGATTTTCAATTTTCTCTTAGATATTTTGTGATTAAAAAATATTTCACTTAGATTTTTGGTGATTACAAAAATAAAATTTTTAAAAATAAATATTTAAAATAAATTTTTCCTCTTTTTTATTTAAAATAATTTATTCTTGAATTTTATTTTATTTTATCTATTTTTACTCTAATGTTATCTAAAAAAATAAATATATTATTTTGATAACACATATTTAATTTATCTTAAATAATATTTTTTTGATTTCAAATATATTTTAAAAATAAAAGAGAAAAATTATTTTAAATATTTATTTTTTAAATCACGAGGGATCTAAGTGAAAAAATTTATAACTACAACAAATTTAAGTGAAAATTTAAAATCATACAAAATTAAATAATAAATTATTTCAGCGCAGTTAATTTAAATGATAAATTTAAAATCATAAAGATTCAAGTAATAAATCACAAAATCAGAATGAAAATAAAAAATTTCCCTTATAATAATGCTTCGTGCCAAGTCAAGTGGCTGAGATGGAAAAAAGAAATTAAAAGAAAAAATTGGTGCAGGTGTTCTTATTCTATTAGCAATTAATTGATTAATTAATTAAATATTCAAAGCATATTCTATTATATTATACAGGACTACAGGAGTAATGGTACAGATTAAGGAACAATGAAAAGCTAAGAAAAAGACAAAAAAGAAAAAAGAAAACTGGGTATCATTTTAAAGGATGTAAAGTTGTGTCATTTTAAGTGAGAGAAAAAGATAAATAAAAGAGGAGAGAGAGCTGACAAAAAAATATAACTGTGTAAGTCTCACCCCTAACATAAGTCGTGTCATTTAAAAAGATAAACACTCTTCCCAGAAACAAAAACAAAAATACTGATTTATTAGAGAGAAGACAGACAGAGTTATAGCCTGCCTACGTACCCTCTCCAATCGCTGCAGCAACAGCGTCTTAAACTGTCTCACACCACGCCCACTGGAGCTCTGATCCAACCTATGCGCCTTCTCGAACGCATAGAACCGACCTTCCAAATAACAAACAAAACAAATCAAGCAATTTCAGCAAAAACTGATCAAATGAAAATGAAAATGAAAATGAAAATGAAAATGAAATGAAATTGATGTAAGTAACATAACATACAAAGATAGGCAACCCTAGGGCGTTCGCTTTCGATCTCATTGGCCACACGGAGAATAGGAGAGATGGAAGCGAGTGAGGAGGGGACGACTTCGTTGTCGAAAACCTCCGTCGAGAAGGTGGTCATGGCGGCGCTTCTCGACGGCCGCCGAGTTAGCGTCTGAGGTGCCGGCTCGAGATTCGACATTGCTGTCGACCACCTCGACGCTCCCTACGCCTTCAACTCTCAACCACTCCCCTGTTATTACAACGCAAATGCAACCATATAAATAATGCTGCATCTTCAAAATTAATAACATAAAATACAATCGTGAATTGAAATGCATGTTATGTTTAATTTTCGCTTCAATGAACCTACCTCTTGTGTAGACCTGAGAATTCAAAACCAAAAATGAAAAAAAAAAAGAAAAAGAAAGATAAGATCTCAAAAGAAGTTGGAGCGTCTCCCGCGTAACGCTGCAACTTTTGGTTATGGACAGAGGAAGAAAAAGGAATGGACAAGAGAGAGAGAAAGAACGCGGGAGAATCGGAAGAATATGACACATGACACGTGGCGGAATGAGAGAGTGGTGATTAGATGTAAGGGAGAGAGGGAGAGAGAGAGGAATCACTGGACCAACACCGTTTCCGGAAGCAAGAAACATTTCAGAGAGAAAACACTTTTGGTTATGGACTTTTTGTTTTTGAACACTTCAAAGTCCCTTTTTGTTCGTTCTGTTTGCATTTTATTTCTCTCCTTATTTTATTGTTTTTTTTTTCCTTTTTTTAGTACTGAAACCTGTAAAGGTTAGAGTAGTGTTTAAAAATCAAAGAAATGTTACGACTTTGACCTTGACTACTCCAAAGCTCTGTGGTGATGGCGGTGTGGCTATCTGTCACGGTCATTCCTTTTTGGTCTGAGGGAGAGTCTGTCCATTTTTATGCAATGTTTATTTAGCCATATCCCAGAAGGAAATCACTCCATTATAGAACAAAAAATTAAAAATATACATTGAAGAAATTGTTGTAATTATTTTCATTAGAAACTATACTTGCACGCTATTTAACATATAATATTATGGTGTATTCGAGTGATTTGTCTAACTATACCAGAACTGATCAAGAGATTAAGGTTTAGTTAATTTATTCGAGTGATTTGTCTAACTGTTCGCGCAGTTGATTAATCGTTAAGGAATAGCTTCGATCAGAAAAACACATAAAAACTTTTACAGCAATACTGCTTCTGCTGCGTCATTCGGTCAAGCAATTACGGTCCCTACAATATTTCATTTTTCTTTCTTCGGGTGGGGCAGAAAATGGTTATAAAGATTGAGCTTCAAAGGTGAAGAACTTAAACCATGCATTTGAAAACACATCTCAAATGAGCGTGTAAGAAGAAGCAACATGAAAAAAAAAAAAAAATAGTTATCATTATTTCCTGATACATATACATGCGATAAGATTTTTTTACACTAAATCTTAACCATTGATTTTCTTTAATCCAAGGTTATAATTTATTGAGAATTATTAATTAATTAATAAATGTAACTCAATAAATTATAACTGTCAGATTGGCGAAAATCAATAGTTAGAATCTAGTGTCAACTTTTTAGTAATCATTTGAAACCTCATTCAAGAGTCGTTAGAACAATGAAAATCAACGGTCTTACATGATTACAAATCATAGTCGTTAGATCAAGTCAAGATCCACGACTTTCAAATGAGGTATCAAACTTTTTGTTTAATACCGGTGTTAAATGATCATGTTTCATATAAAAATAATTTCAATTGATACAAGTATAAGAATATCAAAACTCTTGCACCAAGTCAAGAAACATGCCATTATTGGATTAAGAAGCCCATTGCGGAAGAAAATTTTGCGGGAGCACATGTACATTCATATATGTATATTGGTGTAGGCTTGGATAGTTAGCAATTTTGCAAATGTTTTCTGGACCTATGCATATATGGCATAACTTGACCAACTCCCACATTAGCAATCAAGTAAACGCTGCGTTTTTTTGTAGTATGATCCTATCAACACTCTCGCATTAGATTGGCATACAAATTTATGTAACTAGTAATTTTTTTTTGGTAATCTATGTAACTAGTAATTATTCAGCCTATTGTATGGTTATATTTTATATTTAGGTTAATTTTTAAAAATGTACATATAAAAACTTAAGATACAGTATTCAAAATTCTGAATAAAATATTAATAAATAACTTAAATAGAATTTTAAAAAATATTAAAAAGTTGACATAATTAATTAATTTAAAAAAATTAATTTTAATTCAAGTTAAGAAACTGAATTAGTAATAATATGTCATATTCCAATAAAAATAAATCAAAAACATAAATTGTTTTTGAAAAAATTTACTATATTAAACATAAATTAACGAGTTGCATGTCTATTTCCAATAAAAGAACGAAAAATAAGACACACCCGAACACTCTTCATTAGCTAGGTTTTTTGACTTGTAAGTAGCGGCTACCAAGTGTCATGCATGCACGAAGTTTAAGCATGTGCTTGAACGTTAGGTTAGCAAGACAATTTCATAGACACAAATCACATCAAATTACATATGTATGGATCAAAATCCGGTAGAGGGTTTGATCAGGTCGATATAATTGATAACATTTCAACATGTTTCGTTTTAGGTCGGACACCATATGGTTATTAGAGAAATTAATATAAAATTATGAAAGATTCATCACTTATTAACTTAAATTTTTAGATGATGATATGATTGTTTATCATGGTATCAGATCAAGTCGTGACCACAGGATTACGAGCTTGATTCTTTATGACCTCCACTTTCTAATGGAATTAAGTCAGCACAAGATAGAATAAAAAAAGGGCATGTGCAATATTCACGCTTCAAGCTCAAATAACTCTTGCGTGACGGGTATGTTAGAGAGATATAATATAAAATCATTACAGGCTAATCAATTTTTTAAATGAGTTGGTTGCTTTAGGTTGAATTGGTTATTTATATGGTATCAGAGTCTGCTTGACCAAGTGGTCAAAAGTTCGATCCTCACCGCCCTCATTCTATTAATAAATAATTAAATATTATGGATTTTCTTAGCATAAGTAAGCAGGGTCTGTATATTGTCCACCTTTCAAGCCCAATAAGTCATTGTGTGAGGGGGCATGTTAGAGAAATACAATATACAATCATTAATGTGGTATTCACTTAATAACTTAAGCTTTTGGGTTGAAATAGTTCTTTATCAAAGCGAAAAATATGAATCGAAGTTTGAAAAAGGGGAAGGAGTCCTCAACCCCCAACATATAGAGGAGGAATTATTCACTCACATAGTTTGGGCTCCTAGAATATAACGCCCTTGGGGCTTTCTATTTGATTGTATCGAAAGGTCCAATGAATTATGATTTCTTTATTGGGCCGGGTCATTTTGGGGCAAGCAAATCATTTATGATGAAGAAGATGGGCTTTAAGAGAATGATTCAGAGTTCTTGCAGGGTGGAACAATGCATTACCAGACACGAGATAGATATTCCAAAGAACAAGGCTTTTTTGGAATAAGTCGATTCATTTGGGAACCTGCGGATCTACTCTTTTTCCTATTCAAAGATCAGGATTTTGTCTCTGTGTTTTCACATCAAGAATTCTTTGCAGATAAAGAGATGTCAAGGGGGCTTCTGACTTCCCAAACAGAGCTTTCTACATCTATATATAAATGTTGGTTTATCAAGAATACGCAAGAAAAGCATTTCGAATTGTTGATTCATCGCCAGAGATGGCTTAGAACCAATAATTCATTATCTAATGGATTTTTGCGTTCTAATACTATATCCAATGGTTATCAATATTTATCAAATTTGTTCCTATCTAACAGAATGTTATTGGATCAAATGACAAAGACATTATTGAGAAAAAGATGGCTTTTCCCAAATGAGATGGTTATTGCTATCTGCTCCAATAACGAATCATTGGTTTAACTAAATAACTATATAAAATAGATAGACCTTTCTTTTCTCTTCATCTCAGGTTGATCGATCTTCTCATTTAAAAGATCCCCTATAACGATAATACTCATTCCAGTTGACCGAGCCTAATTCGAATTGTTTTGTTCCGTAGCAAAGAGATCCATAGGGTAGTTTGTCCTATTCAGATATTCACAACCACGAAGTACTGAATTTTCTTTCTTTTCGAATAGGCCCTGAAAGGAGAAGGAAAGTTGCAATGCTAACAAACGTCTATTATTGAATTCCCTTAACCCAAGAGTACAGTACCCATTTGATTTTGGGAACGTCCGGTGCCAAAGTCATTGAATGGGTAAGTTGTCAGTCCCTAAAACGAACTATGTAATGTTCTTTATTAGCTAGATTATGTGTAGGTGGGCATTTTACCAAAGGTTTCTATTATATCAATCTACCCCTATGTGATTCATGTTGAAGCATAATAGAGAATATCACTAAGATTTCGTGATCCATTGTCGAACTTATTCCAATTCAATATTATGCCTTGAAGAGGACTTGAACCTCCATGCTCTGTATCACGAGATTTTGAGTCTCGCGTGTCTACCATTTCACCACCAATTCAATAACAGATCTCAATATCATAGGCCGCTTTTCGACTTGTCCAAACTTCTTCAGAAATTTCTCCTTTAAGTGGTCGCGATGGTGAGAGGTTTATCAAGTCAACAATAGTTTTGAAGGCTTCACCCTAGAAAGATTTCGGCAATCCAACATTGGATAGCATACTTCAGACCTTTTCTTCAATAGTTCGGTTCATCCTTTCAGCAAATCCATTCAGCTGTGGAGTCTTAGGGGCGTCTTCTCAAGTCGAATCTTGGTCACTCTACAGTACGCATGAAACGGGTCTCAGTACTGACCACCATTGTCAAATCAGAACACTTTCAGCTTCTTGTCAGTCTCATTTTCCACCATAGCATGAAATTCTCTAAAGGCTTGGAGTACCTGATCTTTAGATTTCAACAATTATACCTACACTTTGCGGGAATGATCATCAATAAATGAAACAAAATACTTATATCCGCCAAAGGATCTTTCCAATATTACATATCTCGGTATGGATGAGGTCAAGAACATACCTATTTCGTCTGGGTTGATCCGCTCACAAAAGAAACTTAGTGTTGCTTTCCAACTAGGCAATGCGTGCAACTCTCCAGCGCTTTCCCTTTCAACCAGGTTAGTAATCCTTTTTTGTTTAGAATTT